TAAGTGCATGGCCACAGGCCCAAGCTCAAGATCTCTGAATTGAGCCTGGCACCTAGAGATGGACTCAGCACCTTCACACACTGTTAAAAAACAGAAATTCTTTGTTGACTCAGTTATTTTTTTTGATCAATATATACAAAGGATGCAAAAAATCTCTTTGATTTCTCAAATACTGAAATTAAACAAGGAAATACTTGCTATTGGAGAATTCTCTCAGGGGTCTATCTAAATATTGAGCATCATCCCAATATTAACCAATCTTAAGAATCCAATCAGAAAAAGATTTGTTTAGTAAAAATCTTTTGCATATAATGTGGGTCCCCTTGCGTTGGGCAGATAAGTGATTGGGCTAGCTGGAACATGCCCAATTTTATGCACTTGAGGCTCAACTCAAAGGCCTCTTCGGCTTGGGTTCACATGGATTTGTGTAAACCTGGTTTCTGGTCCATAATGGAAGCTACTTGAATGTCTTTATAGACTTAGGGAAAAGTATGGTTGTGCTTGATCTTTTCTTAGCTTTCTACCTTGCATCAAAATCTTGCTGTGGTAATGCCATCACAAGAAATATGTCCCCAAATAGATGAAATAAAACAGTTAGGAAATATGTCCTCATAACAGTCATTTGAACACAGTCCTCATCTCAGTTTTCTGCAAACTTCAAACTTTTCCTTTGTCTTCAGGTTCTGTTATGCCTGTAACTATATTTATTTTTATAAACAAACCTATAAATTATAATACAGTTTTAGCTGTGTCCTGTGAAATGTTGTTGAATGACATTTTTAGGTGTCACAATTCCTTCACTTGGCTTGTTCTTCTTGCCATTTACCTTGGTCTTTTGTATTTTTCCCTAAATGAGGTTAAACTCTACTTTGACGATTGCTCATAGGGAATATGAGCCATCAGGCTTTAGGGGTTTTTGCACCCTGTTCATGATAATTGCATATTTATTGGGCTGCCATTTTTCTTAAATACTGTAGCCATTCTCTTCCAGCATCTTCGAAATGTTAAGGAGCAGAGTTTGTAATAGGTTGATTCTCAAGGGCTTGTGGAGGTTTCTTTTGTACTTGACTCAACTATGCCTTAACAGAACTCTTGCCATTAGCTCAACCTATCCTATTCTTTCTGCTTTATAAGATTATAAGTTGTCAAGTCTTCCTCACTACCTCAATACATGATATAGTTGCCAAAGTATTCAAATGGCAAAAGAGGAATATTACATTGCATAAATAATTTAAAATATATTAAGACAAGAAAGTTAAACCCAAGAGCTGGAAGTCATAGTGTTGACTCTGTAGTGGTTACATCCTTTTTCATAATATCATGTTCATCAGTGGTGCTAAGTGACGGAATTTTTTTCTAACTTTATCTGTAGCATCACCATGACTACAAGAAGTGCTGTGCCAAGTACCAAGTCTATACACAACTAAACATGTTAGTTTTTAGCTGTTTTGGTAACACTGCATTTAGGMATCCCCTTGCCCTCTTAGAAACTTCAAACTTCAAGCTTCCCTAGATTAGTGTTTACCTACTTTGGTCTTTTTCTCCCCCTCTTTTGTGCTCTTGAGTTCCAACTGATCCTTTTGGTCAATCACCTTTTTGTTCTTCTTGTCAACATTATTTGTTGATTGTCAAAAAAAAAAAAAAATTGATGCTGAAATATACACCTCAACAATTCAACCACTCGTGAGATTGGTTGTTACTTAGCTTTAAATACTTATGAGGTACTTTCTCTGCAAGAATTTTCTTATCTATACCAGAAACATGGATGCATCAACTATAAAAGATGTCATATTTATTTTAGCTATTGAGAAGATGTGTTTGGTATGTCTCTGCATGTGTGCGTGTGTGTGTGTGTATCTGACTATAAAAATAACAGCTACAATATCTTCTGCAGTCAATGGAGAAGGAACTCCTGAGGCAGCCTCTACTGCACTGGTAATCTATGACATAATTATTACTTCCTTTGCTGTTTGATTATGTTTTCCATGTTCAATATGGCTCACATATCTTAACCAAAAGTTTCCTTGTGCCGAATCACAGGTTGTGAGGCAACATGATATTGATCCAGATAATCTGACATTTGAGGTGAGTTTGTTGATGAATGAGGCATTCCACATAAAACTTGTAGGGTCATAGATAAATCATCAATACCTTATTCTTCCTCCTCACTGTTCTTTTCTATCTTTTATGTGATTGAAATATGCCAGATCTTTCCAAATTGCAGAATTTAGCATATTAAAAGATGAGGTGAAGGCAAGGCACCTTAAAGCTTTAATTGAGCAAGTTTATATCAGTTTTAACGAGGAAATACTGTTGGGCTTCTCCTTATCATGTAAACCAACTTGTATCCATTGCATATTAAAAGATGACGTGAAGGCAAGGCACCTTAAAGTCTTAAATGAGCAAATTTATGTCAGTTCTAATGAGGAAATGCAGTTGGCTTGTCCTTGGAAGGTTATAGTAGCATAAGTTTCAAATTCCAAGGGGTTTAAAATCTGTCATAATCCATTAAACCACCAAACCAGTTCAGTGAAGAATTTCTTGAACTGATCTTGTTATCCTTATTGCCTAAACAAAATTCTTTTAAATTTCTTCCTGTATGATAGAAGTTATCCTTTTGCTGTTTATTCCTGTTTGATATGTATCAATCTATTATTACATTTTTCATGTCTCAGGAATTGGAATTTCTAGAAGAAGCAATTGGCAATGAGAGTAAAGGATTATCAGAAGAGCTTATTAGCTACTTGCCATCATTCAAGTACAAAACAGGCTTTTTCTCAAGAAAAGACAAGCATGAAGAGTAAGGTTCTCCTATATCTTTTCCTTTTCAATGTTATGGAATGTTTATGCTCATTCTGAGGCACATGTAGGTTTGAGTAGATCAACTAGGATTTTCCTTTTCATCATCCAAATGGATCTTATTTATTTTGTAGAGCCTGAGTAAAAGATCAAGGAGCTCACTAGTATGTTAAATGTTACAGATACAAAACCACGAGTTTTCTTCCCAAGAATAAACTCAAATATTAGATTCTTTTCTTTTAATGCATATAACTCTAGTTGGACTGCAAATATATAGAAGATAACAATCATTTTCCATGATTTTTGAGGGTTGTGTATGTTTGTATTTGTCTGTTTTAGTTTCTAGAATTTGGAAACTTGCAGATTTTGACATTATGTTGTGTTTGTTGGTATTTTAAGACAGAAAAGGTCTTTTTCATGATTGTTTGCTTCTTGCAGGTGCGTGATCTGTTGTATGGAATACAAAAACCGAGATAAGTTGACCACTTTGCCATGCCAGCACAACTATCATTCAAAGTGCATCACACAGTGGTTGAAGATGAACAAAGTAATTCACGTTGCTAATGTGTGATAAAACTGTGCCTCTGCCCTCCCCTAATGGAGCAGATGCTGCAGATTTCTTCCAAGTTCCAAGAGGGCATTGGCGCAGAACCATTGTTGTATACTTGTGTTTGCCACTATTATGTTTTCTAATATTTTTTTTTTGTTCTTTGGATGTTCATTATTCATGAAAGGACGTTTTAAGTGAATTCCCTAAGAAACAAAATTTTTCTAAATAGTTTTTAGTAGGCATGCAGATGCATATAGATGTTGAAGTTGAATTGAAACAGAAAATAATTAGGTGTAATTGAACTTGAATTTTAAGACCGTAGAAACTCACAAATGTTTATTCATTAGAACTTAACAAAGGGAAGAAAAAAAAACAAAATATCCAGATATTTTGTATATGCTAAAAGACCTTTCTAGTCCACATAACAAATTAGTTTTGTCCATAAATCCCAAGTTATTAATACAATTGGGCATTACCCTACAAAATGTGCTTAGCATACCATTAATGTGTCCTAAGTTCAAACCATATTCAGGTTAAAAGTTCCTCCAGAAGTTTTATATGAACAAATAAAAAATTTAGACTTCCCTGTGATGGATTTTTGTTTGTAAATTGCTTTCAAAGATGACCTTGTTTGATTTGATTCTTCAGTTGCAATTAAGTTTAATCTTCTGCATCTGGAGTTTTAGGAAGAGGATATATTCCAAAACCCCGTCAAACCCTGTTTCTGTAGCAAAAATAAATGGGCCCCTTGAAAACACAACAGAAGAAACATTATTGTAAATCAAGTATAAATGATAAATTTGATAAAATGACTCCTAAATACAATATAAGCCAAGTGTTTCTATGCACAAGTGAAGTTTTATTTTTAGATTAGACTTTGCAATGCAAATGACTTAATGCAACTAAGGCTTAATCCAAATTGTGCTTTTCAATCTCTTCTGTCCCTTGGTATAAATACAAATATCTACAGTGTAAAACCTTGTTTATTGTATTATTTTGTGTTCCTAAACCTTGTATTTGCACTGTACATATTTGTATTTGTACTCTTTCTTACTCCTTCCAAACTGAGCCTTAGGAAAAGATGGAAATATAATGAGCCTAATATGGACATAGGCATTGGACATGTGACATATGCTGAGGCTTACATATTAAATACGAACTCTGGATTGGCCACCTCTGTGATAATGATATATAGTATTTTGCACTTTGCGTCATCCCAAATGTAATCTTGTTTTGCTTTAGTAAGTTGTATGATGAAATCTCTATTTTTAGAACTTCTATCCATCATGTGAAGGAGTATTCACTAAAAATGGGCCTTAAGTTGTGGATGGTTTTTGTTTTCCCTGCAGGCATGTCCAGTGTGCAAGGACGAAGTATTTGGGTGAAAGCTTACAAAGGGAATGAAGTAACTGTTTAGTTAGTGGTTCCTGGGGATTGAATTTTGTATGGAAAAGAGGTAGGTTATCCTTGTTGTCCAAATTATCTTCCAAGAGATGGACCAGATTATCCAATTGTAGTTCAACATAATGTAAATGGATACAGGTCTTACTTCTTGGGGTGAGTGGGACCTGCTCCAGGAATGATCTGTGCACAGCTCTTGGTTGAAGTGGATATTATCTATGTAGCTTATTGTCTGAAAACATGTTAATTGTGCATCTCTACCTGCTAATGAAGAATCAATATTTTCTTTTTAGTAGTAATTTTTCCCCAATTGTCCTATATAGAGAGAGACCTGTTAAAAGTACTCAGCCAAGCACTCATTAGGTAGTTCAAGAAGTAGGCCACATAATATGTCCACCAAGATTTGTATCTGAGAGATCCAATGTCTGACAACTTGTCTATTCTTAGCTGATCAAGTTTTAGGTAATATGTCAAGTGACGTGCTTGTTTGATCAATGCAAGCTTCAGGTTAGGGCTCATCTGATGATTGAAACCATCCTAACTACCTGTTGTTAGTTCAGATTCATGGCCGATGGATGTTTCCTGTGCCTATACAACATGAATGAAAATTTGGCCAGGTCTGTCCAAACTTCTGGAAGTGATCAATTTGGCAGTACATGCTTAAATGCAGGTAATTTAGGTGTTGTGTGAATCCATTTTGAGGGTTGATAAAGTGTTTTCTGACAAGTTGCAATAGTCTCAGCTTCTTTTTTTAGGCATCCCCTGAATTTCCTCGTGTTATTAATGGAGGGCAACTGTTGGGTGCTGGAAAGTTGGTAAGAAACTCTAAACTGATGAAATTCTCGTTTCCCTTGTGCCCACGGTTCACTTTTGTCCTACCAAAAAAAAAAAAAACAGAATACTGGTGGGTGCATAGACCTCTTTATGCAGTAAGATAAGAATGGAGGGGGAGCCCCGGGTCTGATGCTTGTCATGCTCAGCTCATGTGACACTGTAAGCGTGTGGTGAGAATCCCGTGTCATTCATGGGGAAATGAACTCAATACATTTTGTGTCTTGTGGGCAGGGATGTGGGTGGAGGAAAAAAAAAATTCTAAACTATGGAACTCTTTTAAGGGCTATTCACCAATGTGCATATCTCTGGTTAAATTTTGTCTTTGGAATTTAAGGGCTCCATTTATATGCCTCCCATGTATTTGCATAAATTCTCAAATTTAGGGTTTGCTACATGAATCTTGTTTTGTTCGATTCAAGTCTTAACCTCTTCTACTTTAAGTGACTGTCAGTGTCATGATACATGTTCTTTCTTTATTTTAAATAGAATGACAAAAGTATAAGCCGATAAAAAACTTTTTAATAATGATGATCTTGAGCAATGTTTTCAAACTGTCATTTACCAGGATAGTTTGAGCCGTTGATCCAAGTGGTCAACCCGGAAACCAATGGCCAGAATGGTTCTGGTTTCAGATAGTTTTTTAAAACATTGATCTTGAGGATGATGATAGTATATATATAACCCACCTACTCCAAGATTTTGTGCCAATGGCCAATATCAATGGATCCCATGTCTGGAGAAAACATTTCAAGGACATCAGAGCAAACCCAAACAAACGTGCCTAGCTGAGGAGAAAAACTCTCCAATCGATTAGATCATGCTTAAAATTATATATGGTTCAAGGTGTCAATACATATTGTGGCATATTGCACGATATGTATCAGTTTTAGGGTTACCAAAACGCTATATAATGAGAATTAGGATGGTGTTTCATATTAAAATAATAATACTAGGTGTGCATTAATGATGATAAGATGGGCATTGAGACTCAATTTGATTTGCTTATATTCTGGTTTGAATTGCAATCGGATATTAAATAGCATTAATAAAAATATTATATACTACTAATAAAATGAACTATAAAAAGGACTCTTATCTTATATATATCATGGACAAAATACATTCAAAATGAATTGTATCAAATTTGAACAAATGACTCTTAGTAAAAATATAACATTCAAACCAAATTTACTAATAAATACAATTTAATAATTTTAAGTATATACAAGCATGCATATTGGGGAGAATTCATATTAGATCCAATCATCAAGGGATCTAAATCGAATTCAGATAAGCAAATACCATTTGCAGCCCTAGTCATGGTTTTTGGCAAATGAACTACTAGGCCCTTGTAATTGAAATTCTCTTGGGCTATGTTTATAAAAGTTTTCCTACTTTTTCCTTCCTTTTCCTGTTTTTTCCTTCAAACCAAACACAGCCTTATGATTTTGGAACTGTTTTCGTGTGTTTATTAGGGAAAATTTTATGGATTCCACAACGTTTTCATAGTTATACTCAATCTGGAGAACTACACTAAGGCTGTATTTGGCTTGACAGAAAATAAGAGAGAAAAAGTAAGTTGATGGAAAGTTACTAAGGAATTTCACAAAATGTGTTAAAGAACATACTTTCAACTTTCTATTTCTCTCTTATTTTTCTGTCAAACCAAACATAGCATATGGGTCTAACTTGTCATAACCATGGAGTTATTTTGATTGGTCAGAGAAAACTCTGGGTGTGCAAACTTCCATGGCTATAGCTGTATTAATCAGGAGCATAATATATTTCCTTATCTCTTGGCAGTAGGTGTTAGCGGTGATCATAGATCGGGCCAGACCATGTTTAGCACCTATGATAAGGGTTATAGTTTGGGCCTGGGTTGGACCCTGAGCCTGAATTATAAAATCTGTATAAGAAGCAAGGCTTTGGACCTATGTCATTAAATGCATTATAGATAATATTATATGTATATGTAATATATAAATATATTATGGGGCGGACCAGGCAAATTTTCAAGCCTGAAGTTTTGGGCCTGAGCCAGGATGGGCTAGAAATGATCACCTGTGATAGGCGTGCAAATGGATCAGATTGAATAGGATTTGATACGATCTGTTTATTAGTATTTGGGAAATAAGTCCAAAATAAGTGCTTATTTTAAAAATAGGGGTTTATTTTTTAATCCCAAATTTTCAGTTTTTTTTAAGTGCTTATACAATAAGTACTTATTCAATTTTTTCTTTCAAAATTATCCCTATTTGAATTTTTTAAAAGTACTTTTATGAAAGTACTTTTACAAAAGCACTTTTATAAAGGTACTTTCATAAAGTGCTTTCGTAAGGGTATTTTCTTAAAAGTGCTTTCGTAAAAGTACTTTCATAAAAAGTATGTTTATAAAAGTAATTTAATAAAAGTGTTTTCAAAGGATATATTTTAAAATTTTAAAAGAAAATGAAGAACAAAATAGTCACAAATGCTTATTAGAGAAAAAGATTACCAAACAACCAATAAAAAATAAAAAATAAAAAATAAACACTTGAAAAGGTTGGGTGCCAAATACAAACAAGTGCTTATTTAAATAAACAAGCGTGTTTAAGCACTTAATTTTAACTTAAGCACTCCCAAACATGGCCTGAATCTGACTATATATCATAGCATAGGAGGATGGGATGGTCAGGGCCCACTAGTCCCATGCCAACCATTTGCACTATTGCAAGACATGCAAAAAACACAGATATACAAGAATTTAATGAGAAATTATTGGCTCCGATCTGGTGGGAGGAATTGTGTCCGACCAAATGCATTTTTGTTAGGATTTACAAATTTTGAAACTGGGGTTTAGGGTTAGGGTTTATAAACTTAAGATTTAGTTTTTAGATTTAAAATTCAGGATCTTTATATAAAAATCAAAAGGTTGGTAGGAACATATATGTGGGGGGCAGAAAGGTCCTCTTCTCCTTTTCCTTAAGATTGGACTTTTGCTATTTTGTACGTATCTGTATTGACAAGGAATATTTGAGACATACAGACTAGAGAGCCATGGTCAATTGGCCTCTTCATGTTCTGTCAATAGGCCTCTTCAGTTGGGATATGCTGTGGGCGTTTGTAGGGTGCAGATGTGAATTCATTTCTAAGTTGGCAAGATTAAATCATTCCATTCCAGATTTTTCTCATTTTCATGCAAGTTGCATAGAGCCTCCATTACTGAGAAGCTTCCAAGAAATTTCATTTGGGGTAAGACTTGGACATGCAACCCCACTATTATCAAAGAAAAGAGCTGTTGATATTAGATGGTGATTAACACCAAAAAAAAACAAAAAAAACCAAAACAATGGGGGAGGACTATTTGTCATTAACTAACAGTGACTGTGCTCATGCATTTATTTATTTATTTATTTCAACTGAACAAACAAAACCACAAAACAGTGACTATTTCTTGGGGGACAGAGGAAGTATCTTAAAAATCCATTAGGCTGTGTTTGATTGCAGTGCAAATTTATTTGCACTAGTACAACTGTATGGGAGTGCAAATATAAAAAATGCAAATTCTTGTCTAATTTTGTTTTGGATTTTACTTTATTCTGCTTCATGTGTTAATTTACTTCATTTGTATTGTGGTCAAACAAAATAAGTTAAAATTTACACTCAAATCATTTGCAGTGCTATGATTTTGCATCAGTACAAATTTATTTGCATTGCAACCAAATACAGCCTTATTGAAAAAATTAAGATGTTTCTATGGCTCTTAATCTTAAATAAAATCCCAACAAAGAAAAAGCCAAAATGTAGTAGACAAAGGGGCTGAACTTGAAGGGGGGGACCATATCCTTCTCAAATGTCAAATAGCCTCTCAAGTTTGGAAATTAATGGAGCAGGACTTGTGCTGTGAAATGATGGATCCAAACTGGGGAATTTGGGTTAGTGGTCGAAAGCGCCCAATAAATAAGGACCATAAGGAATCCTATTGGTTTTTTTTGAAAGAATACAGTAGAAACAGAAATGAAAAAAATCTTCAGAAACTATGTAGCTGATCTTTAGGAAATAGCTTCAAAAGCTTGGAGATACATGATAGAATTCATTGGCAAACTTCTAAACCGAATTTAATGGACCCCACTAGAACCCAACAGTCCAACACCGTTAAAATAAATTTTAATGCGAAAGCTAAAATGAACGATCGATGTGCTTACTCGAGGGAATTGGTTAAAACAAAAATGGATAAACTAATATCTGATCTATTGATATCTATTGGTTAATGAACCGGGTCTGGATTGAAATCAATCTAAATCAAAACGAATTTGAACAGAACAGATTGGACAGTCCAAACATTGAATTGGACCGTCCCAAAATGGTCCAAAATATTTATTGAAAATTGGACCTGATCCATTTATAATGCATTCACATTGGACTGGATTGGATTGGATTGGACCAAACCAAACCGAATAAACTAGTTCAATTCGATTATTT